GCTAATATATTTTGAAATGCATTAATTTTGTACTACAAATAATTCCGAGCTTCAGGTTTGATGTGCTCTTTGCTGGCTGTCTCCTCTGTCAGCTAAACTGAGCTAACACACGTTATCCATTTTTTTACAACCCTCTCCTTCAGCATGGTAGATTGCTGTACTGCCCAGTAATGCATCCTGTACTGTCTCTGAAGCCAGACAAGTATCCACGGACATAACTAACACATTAAATGTGCTATGAAGAGGATGCAGGTTACTCAGCTTCTGGTTCTGTTGTCTTGCTAGGGAAACAAATAAGAAAGCAGGAGTTAAGAATCAAAAGGAGAAGGACAGTAGTGTGCATACTCTGAAGTGATATGTTTGCTTTTCCTAACAGCAAGATGTATGAAAAATCTGCAGTTTGACCCAAAATTCTTACAGAGGCCATTTTTTAGAATAGTTGAGAGAATAGAGAAGTGAGGGAAAGTGGCTTTTTTCAATAGGGCTCCGTTTTCAGTTTTCTGAAATTAAGTCCAGCACAGATGGGGATACCAAATTATTACTTTAAGGTATATTTTTCACTTCTTGGCCTAGTGGTCACAAGAGCTCCTGATATAATGTAAAGAAATTTCACAGTTTTGGTAGCCTGCAAAAAGGGAGGCTACAAAAACAGTTCATTCAATAATATTGACATTACCCATCCTGGGACAGAGCTTGAGGCAGGCTCTTGGGGGAAAACCAGGGGTCAGAAATTACAGAGCAAGTCACAGGGCATCTGCTCTGCTGCAGCTGTGGTCATCTGAGCAAAGCTGTGGCTGCACAGTGTAAACTGGGGCATTGCCTACTTGAGGAGGGCTTGATTTGATAATATGGAAAGCTGTTGAATGTGTTTTATGTAAACTTTATGTAACTCTTCATAGCGAACAGGTAATCACCTGGAACTGATATGGACTACAGCTKTCTTCAGCTGCTCTTTTGTTTTTAAGGAGGAAATGATAGCAAGGAGCAAAGCAAAAGACAAGCTTGCAAAGGCCAATATCCGACTGTAGTCGCGTACTTTGTACCAACCAGCAAGATCATGGCCTCTGAATTGATTGCTTCAGGTAATCCTGCTTTCTCTGTTTCTGTGTACCAGTTAAAAAAAAAAAAAAAAAAAAGTCAGGAAAACCAAGAATCATCAGAAAACTGACTACTTATCAAGTATACACTATCAAGATGAAATATTTCACTGTGGCATTTAGCATGTAATCTATTAAATAGATAAGAGTCCAGCTGCAGCAATTTTCAGAGGACAGGCTAGAAGCATAATCACTTTTCCATCAGCTATCTGATTTTGTTAAACTTCACTCAGCAGAATTAGAAACCTTGAGTTGCAGTATTTTCCTTGGTGAAAATGGTTCCCAAATTTGACAATCAGAGGCRTTGACAGGAGTTTCCAGTACTGTATTTTTTCAATTTGTTTCAGATTAGTGTCAGGGGGTTATGCTATTTTAAGGTATCTTCCACTTTGAGTGCTTTAATCTTTTATTTCTGAACAATGTTTGACCTTATGGCTAGTCCAGAAGTTAAACTTTTCCTTTCTGTCTGCAAGGCTAAAAAGCAATACAAAAGAGCAAAAAATCCCATGTATTGAAACTGTATGGATATTTGCAACTTTTGTTTACATTTTTGATGCATCAGTCTACAAGAAGATAGAAAAAAATATCTAACTAGTGTTCTTAGCAAGTTTTCACTTTTTTGTGGTAATCTGGCAATTTCTTTAATACAGGATTAGAGGGACTAGGGGGAAAAAAGCTATATTTGCCTTAGGTGATCCACTTTGGCAATGAACTGTTATGCTGTCACTGAAAAAAAATGGTATTAAACAGCTAAATTGTGAGTAGATATAGATATTATGGAAGGAGGAGGGGAAAAAAGTGCCATCTCCTTGTAGGAACATTTTCTGAGTTTTACAGACTTTTTGATGGACATAAACCTATGTCTTCATCGTCTCACAGGAAGAAGYAACCCCATTTTGGGATGTTGCCAGCAGATGCTTGCCCACAGGGTTTAATTTTGGGTGCTGTTGTGCCCAGCTGCCTGTAGCGGCATGCAGCCACTGCCTGTGGTGACAGGAAGGCCAGGAGCTGCCACCATGCAGGCTGTGGGCTTCAGGCCCCCCAGCTGCTGATATCCCCCAATATACGGGATATTGTGGGGTGGGCGATAGTGGGAGGGAACCGTGTGGGGCTTGTGAGGAAGAAAAACTCACTGGCAGCCATAAAAAGCTGAGAGTCCCCAAAGGGCTAGGCCGCAGCCGCCATTTTGTGCCCTTGAGGAGCRCCGTCTACCCCTCCATGACACAGGCGGGCAGTGCACCCTGCTACAGAGGATCCACCAAAAGGATTCCTCCCTTCTCTAAGCTTTAGAAACAAGGTGTGTCCCCTAATGAAGGAGTTTTTCCTGCCACTTTTCTTATTTTAGCAGAATCAGAAAATTGCAGGCAGGTGAGTCTCTTGCGTGGCTGTTACTAACTTGGTGCCCAAATCTGTTTCTAAAGGTGGAAAGCTGCTTCCTGAGGGGATGATTTTTTCTGTTCAAGGCCCAGGGCAAAAACTGTAAGTAAATTTTATATTCAACACAAAGCAAGTTGCTCATTCACAAAATTTGAGTTCACAAAGGAGTTGAGAGTTAAAGGGGGGTGGAGTAGGGAATTCACAAATTAAAACATGTTTGAATATTCTGATAACTCAAAAATATTTTGGGATACCACATACAAAAAAAAGGTAGGTGAAACTTGTTCAAGTATAGCTGAAGTGTTYATTGCTTTCACTTCTAAAACTGAAAATCTGGCTTTGTTCAATTAAATTTGACAGACACTGGGTATTGGGTTAGTGTGGCTTTGCCTTTGAGGAATACCCCTMTGCATTGCAGCATGGTTTTGAACTCTACTCAGTAATTGTCAAACCTTTTCATTTCTCAGATTAGTCCTGCCGCATGATTCTCTTCCTCACATGCTTTAGGACTAGCTTTCAAATATTAACAATGACTAAGTATCTGACTTCTGTTTCTTCACTGCTTCACTCTTTCACCCCTGTGGGGTGACTTTTGTACAGCTGAGTGATGATGAACTGTTCAGTAAAGGTTTTATTTAGATACTGAAGTGTTACCAACTACACATTTGTGTAGTGATGAAGGAGCAACATATTTCATTTTAATCCCTTTTCTGTTTTACAGACTTCATTAGTCATTAGTATTATTTTGCTCAGTGGGGGAAGGGAGGATGGCCCTTATACTGTTATACCAACTAAAATAAGACCTTCACTTTAAACACAAGTAGAGCTGTCTGTATGTCTTGTTAGAGATTCCTCCTGGTTGCTTGAAGAGGAAGAGAACTGAGAAAATCTGAGAATGCAATCTGTAGAGCATGTTTCTATGTGAAACTGCCCGAAGATTTATTATGTTATCGATGATCTCATGTATCAGCAGGAAACTTTTTTGCAGCTTCATGCACAGAGGAGTGAGACAATGTGTGCCAACTTCAGGCCTGCTGAGCAGCCAGACCTTACTAGTTATTTTTGCACTGGCTGCTGTGCTAACCTGGAGGGAGTTTTCTTTGCCAAATGCCCTTATTTTATGGCTGCTGCATTAATTGGGTCAAAACATTGATGTAGCAGTTAAATCCTGTTGTGGAACCTAGAGGAAGTTCTTCTCATTAATACACCGCACTGGTAGGGACAGAGTTTGCCCTGACTTTCTTCAGGAGAAGGTTTGGCTTGGAGCATTTTGCTTCAGTGTGAACGTTGGTCAAGTACTGTAAAATTGACAGGGTGTATGCATCTGGCAGGCGGGAACCACTGACATCATTAGACCATTAGGGCTGGTGATATATTCAGAGTACAGAGAATTTTTTTTAAGCACAGCTGCAATTAACCATTCATGTTTACTTTATTACACTCCAGCATTWTTACTAAAGGTGAGCACAACTGTTGTTAGATATTATTTCCAAATGCTTAAAAGCAGTAACCGTATATGCTCTGGGTTGAAGTCTTCTATAGTAATATTTACAGACAGATGTCTGTGTTGTTTGAAAGTGAGGCTTGCAACTTTTGGTAGTATAAGCAAGTCAGAACACTGAAAATAAGCACCCAGGAGTAAGTGCTAAAGTACCAGTACTATCTTTTTATCTCAAAGGGAAAAGAGAGTAAAGACCTTTTCAGGTAAGGTACTGTAGGTTCATTAAAGTCGAGTGTTAGGGTTCATCAAGRTTTAGCCCTATTGAGGGTCTTCTGCCTGTCAGCAGAGGTGTTGGTGTCTGGCCTTAATTACTTGCAGACATCTGAAACTTCAGAATCTTATATTGCTTCTTAATAAGCCCCCATCTTCTAAATTCAGCAATTTAAGAAAACTAAATCTATTGACTTTCATCATCATAACTGGATTCATTAACCTTTAGTGGGGCACCTATGCCTGACCTCTTYGGTGGTTTTGAAAAAATCTCTCTTGTAGTAATGCTATTTAATTTGATACATCAAAATGTGTTTTGTGCTTATAAGCTAAGAGCTTCCATTTAATAAATGTCAGATCTTGGCTGCTATTAGTTCAGAACACACTGGGATCTCCTGTGACATGAACTGTCTAAGAGCACTAATGAAGTAAGGTRTAACGCCCAAATAGGTTAGACTGTGGAAGCTTCAGATCTCTCCTACCTGTTGATACTTTGTTCGGACAAGTATCCTTCCCACAAAAGACTGAGCTCAGGCATAAAAATATTCTCTGTAGACAGATACTTCGCTAAAGTTTCCTTTTGTAAGTAATATATCCCTTTTATATGTTCTACAAATCATGCTGAATAAAAAATGTAATTTCCCTTGCAACCTCAGAAATCATTTCCCAGTGGCATTTTGCAAGCGTGCACCTGACTGGGATGCTCTTTATCTTTCTCTTTTTAAAATGTCAAGCAGATAAAAGTCTTCTAAATAGCATTCTTTCCTATTTTGATTAATTTTGCATAGCATTTTCCCAGAAGAATTGATACTTACATAAACCTGAGTTCTGATTCTCTTCTGACTAAGACTTCCCGAAGTCTCTGGATCTTTGCCATCTCTAGCTCAATTTCCTCAGGCATCATTGTTGTTTCAGCCATTGAAATGATGTCGAGTTGATCTGTGTGTAAAGAAAAAGAAAAAATTAATGAACTTAGTCAAACTGTCTTAATAGGGCTTTTTAGTAATGCAAACTTTAATCACACAGCTATCTGGATATAAGGCAATTAATGCAAATAACAGAATATTCTAGCTGAATGTTACATTGACTAGTTTATTGTTTTGCTCATTAAAGTTTTCTAGCCATTTTRAAATAATAGAATTTCTAAGATGATATTTATTTCAGGCAGAATATATCATATTTCTAAGGAATTGTAACATAGACTAATCAGTGTATAACTATAGCTACTGTGCCTTAATTTGCATCACTACAAACTTTGACTGAATAGCTACAGAACTGCTACTAAACTGCTACAAAAAAGCACTTTGATATTCCTGTTTTGGCCCTGTGCAGGTAGTGTAAATTGGCGAGGGCTTCCCATCATATATATATATATGTGTGTGTATATATTATACTCTTTATGTAATTCTACCTTYGTAGCATGAGCAACAGCCCAGACCTACTAGAGAAAAGCCAAAGATATGGATAGAAATGATGCTGAGCCTAATTCTTTGAGGGACTCGGTGTTTCTCAGGAGAGCTTTAAAATAGTTTGAGGAGACAAACACTACAAGTAGGATTATTTGGTAACTGGTAGTGCCAGGGTTCTTTTATGGTCATTTCACTAAAATTGATGTTACCTCTTCYTATACAGTGGGGAAAATAGGGCTATCTGCTCATAAAAAGTAAAAGAAGCAATTTATAGAAGGTGGATTTGGGAAGCAGCTACTAGGCCTCTGGAAAACTCTATTTCAACAGTCCAGGAAGGGAATCATGAACAAGCCTCATGCTCTGAGTAGAGGCCTAGAGTCAACRCAAGAATTACTGTGGCAAGTAGTGTGTGACCTGACCTCTTTGAGYGTGTTTGAAGATTCTCCTTCGCTTCCTACTCAACATGTGTTTGAACCACACAAGAAAGCTATCTAAAACTGTGCACTGATTTCAAAATAATGAAGAAAAAAAATCCCCAAAATACCACGAGGCTGAAATGGGAAGGAAATGAATATAGAAATAAATAAAGCATCAGAACTTAGTTCTCAACTTGTCTGCATCCCTAAATATGCAGCTAGAGTAATGCATAAGAAATGGTTTAGCTTATGTCTATAGCAGTGTATGTGCTGTGACCATGTTCAGAACTGTAAGGAGATCTCTATCTGTAAGGAGACCTCTTCACAGATCTGGAAGGAGGTTTGGGAAGAGTTGGATTAAGGCGACTTTGAGAAGAAGAACCAGACAGGAGCAGCTGACATGGGAAGAAATTTGGAGGTGAGGACAGAGAGACCTGAGAAGAGATTGAGACAACTATAGATGAGCAGGTACGGCCTTCCAGAAAGAAGGGACTGAAGGGATATAGTCCATACTTTATGCATGCTCATTTGTACACTATTGAAGAACTAAGTAATTTTGCATCAAATCTCCCTCTCTTCTACACTTCCTAACAGGTAAGACTGAATGAGTTCCCTTAATAGGCGCCAACTGGTGAATCCTTAGGTCGCATAAATCCRAAACATTTGCAGTATGCCACCCACTTTGTTCTCATTTCTCTGAACTGTATGCATTTCTAAAGCAGGCTATAATGGGAAGGGCACAGCTATTAACATGGTATATCCTGGAAATTCTGACTTGGTAGAGCACAAGTAGGAGGCCACTGAAAACAGGAGCCTCTGAAGAAGCCATCACCAGGACTCCAACCTCAGGCCTTCGCCATTGTGTTCCTTTCAGATCAGCACCCTGTTTGTGTCTGACTTTCTATTCCAATATTGCAGGTAACTGTTCAGTATACCTGGCAGCAGCATCCTGAAGCATAATTAATTATTGTTCATAAAATGCTTTGAGCTCCTGGGATGTAAAACACTCAGGAAAGAAAAAGATGTTAACATTATTAAGCCTTGGAGTAAAGCTCTAGCTCTGGCCCAGTGATAAATGACACCTTTATTGCTTTGAGACAAGGATTCTGAACAGCTTCACACACACATCTCTTGCCTTTTCATAACCGAAAGAGTGAAGAAACACTGAGATTAGTCATAGCCGAGGGACGGAACCAAACTGTTTTGTCTGCTGTACAGTTACCAAAATAATTTTCACTGACAAAGAAACAAGTGAAATATTATTACTGTATGCATAAAAAGATACGAACATGATAATAATTAGTATATAGAAATAAAATTATCAAGCTATTATATGTAGTATGATGGGCTGAAGAGATAATTCTTCCTTTGATTAAATGCAGACTAGTATAGTTAAACTGGGAATTAACTTAATGATCACATTTCCTCCTCACTATCTCAGGCATAAATGGAACATTTGCCAACTGTGATGAGAACAGAAGAGGGGAGAAAAAAGCCTATTTAGTCAATAAGTACAAAGAAAATTTTAAAAGAAGCCTGAAATGATGGAAYGAGAAATGGGAGAATGCACTGCACCTGGTGTTAATAGCTCCAGACAAATTGGTAAGGAAAGCTCTGAGAAAAATGTAATTATCAGCAAAAATTCTCATTGCTGTCAATCTATGGTGGCTGAGCACTCTTGAAAAGATTCCCATTGGGATCGGTTGCATGCTTTCCCTTACAGTCCTGGATTGATGGACACCAGTCAGTAACAAACCAGGTGCTGAGCCATCCTAAATGAGTGCTTCAGATGAAAATAATTTTAAGTCATTGCTGTTGTGCACTGAATTAAAATGGAGCAATTTGAGACCTATTTCTGTGCTCTTAGATTGTCCAATAGGGTAATCCCTTTTAAAATATACTTAGGTAAAGTTGTGTTTCAAATCTGGGTCAGTACTTTGGGGGCTCTTGCCAGAATTGAGCCAAATTCTTAAACCCTTTGATCTTTTTCATAGTGCAGCAAATATATTCCTAAAGCTGCTTCAGATAAACCAGGCCAAACCCAGGACTTCCAAGATTGCTCTTAGTTGATGAACCAAAGCAGAATTAAGCAGGAGGCATAGGTCAAATGCAGGTGAAAAGAGAACAAGATGGTGCAACTTAAAAACAGCATAGTTGCATGTTGTAGAAAAAAAATTGATATCATAATAAATATTCCAGATAAACTGTTCATGTGAAAGAATCAGATGATTCATTTTGCTACTCACTAGCTTGTCACCTGGAGGCATGAATAAGCAGCCTTCTAGACAGGCACTGCACACCTTTGACCGGTCTCTGAAATGCATTCAGAGGCTCTTTGTTTTAACTTGTCCAAAGCAGGATGGAGTGGCAAAAAAATATTCTATGCAGAGAAAAAATATATCTAATTGCTAAACCCAATCTAGGTTGTTGTAGCATTCTGTAACTAGGAAGCCTAACAATGACTACAATTTGGCGTGTCTGTGGAATGGTATTTATTCAATGTTTTATGTTTGAATTAGCATAAAAATAGAGCTAATAGCTAAACACAATTCAAACAGCTGCAATATATTCTGTTTTTGGCTTCCCTAAGAGGCAGGCAATGTTGTGCATCTGAAACAGGGGGACTGGGCAGAGGGGAAAGGTGACACCTGATAGTAGGGGTGTAGAAGGGACCTGGCACATCACCCCACTCCCCGCGTTTTGGCTGCCTGGTTAAGGCCCAGTTTAGACGCAGTGCAGATGTCCAGTCTTGAGAAGCCTAGCAGAGGCTCCCTGCCCTTTGTGCAGGAACAGTTTTCAAGCTGAGACTTTTGCTGCTGGTTCCCTGCCTCGGGGCCCGGATTTGCTCTCAAATGACCTTGGACCTGTTTYGTCAGTAAGGGCTTGTTTGGGGATCTGGACTGTTGGCTGATTCTGGTTATTGACGCCAGAGCTCGCCTTGCTCAGGTTGAGTGGGACTGCGCCTTTCCTGGGGAGGACRCTGCTGCTGCCCCTGCCTGCCTGCTGTAATGCCTGAATCCCAGTGCCTTGAGATACTGGTCCCACTGTTCCACCTCTGTACACRCATCCCAGGTATCAGTTCCCATCCTGCAAAGTACAGTCTGCAGGACTTAAAACACTTAAGTGCTTTAGTCTAGAAAAGGCTTAATTTTCCTCATCTCCTTCAAGCCAATCTCTTCCCTCTGTTTGTCAAAGGGCCCTCCTGGGTAATCTCTTGCTCTGAAGACAGATTAGTRAGGACAGGCAATTTAGTAAAAGCTGTAACTATGCTGTGGTTGCATCACATTGCATCAGGCTTTAATAACCAGCTAATAGGCTACATAAGGGCAACAGGATGGACTTATCTGATGAGTTTTAACAYTGGAAAAAATGTAATCTCTAAAGATGCCAGTCGTGTGCAGAGGCTGCCTTCGGAGGAGCAATTGCTGTTACGTGTGGTAGGGTGTTCTCAGAGCCACTTTATTGCAACTGCATCAATAGCAGCAAACAGTTGAGATGACGTAAGAGTTAAATTTTGCTTCTGGCAAGAAGCTGCAGATTTTTTGTGCTCTGCTTTGCTCTTAAGGTTAAGTCAAAGGGAATCCTGTCTGTGGGGCCTGGGCCTGGTTTCCTATCAGAGTGCATGTGCATGGGTATCTAGAGGAGCTTTGTATGTCAGGAGCAGTTGCATTCTCTGCTGCAGAGCCAGAAAGCCCTGAAAGCAGAAGTTTCAACTGCAGTGCAGTTCCCAGGTGCACAGGATGTAATCTTGGAGCCCTGGAATACTGGCTCAGCTCAGGGCATTGTAGCTGCCAACATCTCTGCCAGACAGCAGGGCACCTACAAGTCCTAATGCTGCTTTTTCTCATGCTCCATGTCTCAGGGCAGAATTCTGGGCTGGTTGATTTCCCTTTCAGTTTGGCTTCGCAACAGGCAGCTGTGAAATCTGGCAGCCCTAGGGAACCTCCTTGGCAGGAGGGAGCCACAAATGTATATTGAAAGCTGATTAAATGCCAGGATCTCGGGGACTGTCACAGTCACCAAATATCCCTGTTTCTCAACAGTCATTTGGGGAAGGAGAAAAACAAGAAATGTGAGAATTTCTCATTCGTGGGCAGTTGGGGTGCATCTGTTT